CTCTTGTGTTTATTTTTTTGGGATTGTTGCCCTTGAGTGGTGAGATAAAGTTCTACACCCGAACTTTGAAAGAAATTAAGATAAGATGGTGATATATTCGAGGAGGCTTATAGGGAGTGGAATCCCTACTAAGTTGAATCGAGAATCCCGCTCAGTTGAGGCCCTTTCGAAATAGTACTGTTGAACGAATCATCGTGAAAACACTCACTATTTTCGACTTTGGAGCTTATGAAATTGAGGACCGTAGTTACCTTAACCCAACTTTGGCCTTTATTAGGACGTAGTGCGAGACTATGAGGAAGTACTTCCGAAATAGTGCTACGCGAAGCTACACTCAAAAGAAGTTCTCTTGAGAATATTATTGATACTCGAGTAATTGGGAAAATTGATAATATCCGATAGATGAGCTGATGATTCTGAGTCCCGTTAGAACCTTGTTCTACAGGTACAAAACAACCTTTAGTCCTTAAACCTTTGGGAAGGGTACACCTTTACTCCATGCTCGTTGCAAACCTAGGGCGCCCCTTTGTTTGTTTATCTTTATGTCCTTATGTGAATACTTGTGTTTGCTGCATTCATATAACATCATTCTGCATTGGACTTCATGGGATTTACTTTCGTTTACGAACATTGTAGGTCACTATGGCTTCAGATAAAAGACATACTGTGAAATATACTTTTAAGAGTCCCAAATTGGACGACCTAAGTTTAACGAACCCCCGGACCTGTAGAGTACTACAGAAACTTAGGATGCTAGTACCTTCCCTAAGTTTAACCAACCCCCGAACCTAAAATAATCTAGCTTGCATTTGCATTGCATTGTGGGAATTTCGATCTTTATCCCTTCCTTTGGACAAATCAAAGTTCGGTTGCAAAATGAATTAACGATTCAAACTAATCAATAGTTTGGTATCCAAATTTCACCGCGACAATGTCTCAGAAAATGATACTTGGTTTCAATATGCTTGCTTCTCCCATGCAACACTGGGTTTCTGGCAAGATTGATTGCAGACTTGTTGTCAATCATCAACTTCAGAGGTTTGTCTACTTTAATCTTCAGATCCTGCAACAGATTCAGAATCCACACAGCTTGGCATGCAGTAACAGCACCTGCAATGTATTCAGCTTCACAGGTTGACAACGCCACAACAGGTTGCTTCTTGGAACACCAAGAAATGGAACCTCCCAGAAATTTGAACAAGTACCCATATGTACTTCTTCTGTCAACTCTGTCTCCACACCAATCAGAGTCTGAATAACTCAGAAGTTCTGACTCATTATTTCCTCCAGAGGGAAATAACAGTCCATACTTCAGAGTTCCTTTGATATACCTCAGAATCCTGACAGCAGCTTGGTAATGGGACCACTTAGGTTTACTCATGAACCTACTAACCATCCCAACTGAGTAGCAAATATCAGGTCTGGTATTGCACAGATACCTCAGAGAACCAACCAACTGTTTGAAGGTTGTACCGTCCATATCCTTTCCTTCAGAGTCTGAATCCAGTTTCTGATTTGTATCAGAAGGTGTGACAACCATCTTACAATTCTTCAGATCAAATCTCTTCAGAAGTTCTAATTCATACTTGAGCTGATGCAAAATGATACCTTTCTCAGAATATATGAACTCCATCCCTAGAAAGTATGTCATTTTGCCTAGATCAGTCATTTCAAATTCATTCATTAGAACCTTCTTGAACTTGGCTACCTCCTGTTCAGAACTTCCAGTCAGCAGTATATCATCAACATATAAACATACCAGAGTCATATTGCCTTTAGAAGTATGCTGAACATAGACACCGTACTCTATCTCACATTTCTGAAAGTCTTGCTTCTTGAAAAATGAATCAATCTTCTGATTCCAAGCTCTGGGCGCTTGTTTCAATCCATATAGAGCTTTGTATAATCTGTACACCATCCCTTCCTGATTCTTTTTCACAAATCCAAGAGGTTGTGACACGTAAACTTCTTCTTCTAATGGACCATTCAGAAATGCAGATTTTACATCTAAATGCATTAGAGGCCAATTCCTGTTAGCAGCTATTGCAATCACCATTCTGATTGTTTCATGTCTTGCTACAGGTGCAAACACTTCAGAGTAATCCAGCCCAGGTTTTTGTAGAAATCCTCTAGCTACCAACCTTGCTTTATGTTTGCCAATTGAGCCATCTGGCTTTAACTTCTGCTTGAAAACCCATCTGACGCTGATGGCTTTCTTGTCTTTTGGAAGTTCTGTCAACTTCCAAGTCTTGTTTCTCTCTATAGCATCAAGTTCTTCTTTCATGGCCTTCAGCCAGAGCTTCTGCTTAAGAGCCTCCTCTGTACTTATAGGTTCAGAGTCTACTAACATGGCACACTGAATAACTTCTCCTTCAGAGTCTACTTCAGTGTCTTGCAGCATGTCAAATTCTGCAAATCTTCTGGGAACGCTTCTGATTCTTTGTGGTCTCTGAACTTGTTCAGAGTCTTGAGCTTCAGAGTTTCCAGCTTCACATGGTTGACTTCCTCTAGAGCTTTGACCATCTTCAAGATCTGGCATATTTTCAGAGTCTTGGCCATCTTCAGAGTCTGAATTTCCACCAGAATCTGGATTACCATCAGAGTCTGGATCATCAGAGTCACCTTCATCTTCTGAGTCTTCTCCAGAGTCAGAATTAACGTCAGAGTTTACTTCAACTTCAGAAATTCTTAACTCTGACCTTTCTTCAGAAGTTCTAACATCAGAATCAGATTGAGACTTATCCCAATTCCAAACTTCTGATTCCTTCACAATCACATCTCTGCTGAATTCAATTTTATTGATTTCTGGACAATAGAGCTTGTATGCACCTGTACTGTGGTACCCTATCAGAATCATCACTTTGCTTCTATCATCCAACTTCTGTCTTCTGGCTTCTGGAACATGTTTATAGCAAACAGAACCAAACACCTTCAGATGACTAACACTTTTCTTGTCTCCAGTCCACTTCTACATAGGAACTATTTCCTTCAACTTCTTCGTAGGACATCTGTTGAGTACATACGTTGCAGTGGCAACAGCTTCTCCCCAGAGCTTCTGAGGAAGCTTCTTCTCCTTTAGCATGCTTCTCACCATATCAAGCAAAGTGCGGTTTCTTCTTTCAGCAAGACCATTGTGTTGAGGGGTATAAGGAGCAGTAACCTCATGCTCAATTCCATTCTCCTCACAGAACTTCTAGAACTCTTTGGAGTTATACTCACCTCCACCTTCAGTTCTAAGAATCTTCAACTTCTGACCACTCTGATTCTCAGTCTTCATTCTGAATTTCTTGAATTCATCAAACACCTCGTGTTTGAACTTAATAAGGGATACCCATGTCATTCTTGTGAATTCATCAACAAATAACACAAAGTATTTATTCCCTCCAATTGATGCTACTGGAAATGGACCACACACATCAGAATGTACAACTCCCAAGGCATGTTTTGCTCTTGGAGCAACTTCTGACGCAAATGGAAAACGTGGTTGTTTTCCTTCCATGCAAACTTTGCATGACTTTTTAGGCTTCTTAATTGCAGGAATTCCATGTACCAGCTTCTTTGAATTCAGATGTTTTACGCTTCTGAAATTCAAATGACCAAATCTTTTGTGCCACAACTCACTCTCCTTCTCAGCACATGTTGCACTAAGCAATTCTGAGTCTGCAGTTCTGACATTCACCTTGAATGTTATATTCCTTCCCTGTTCTGACTCCATAATCAACTTCTGATTGTAGTCATACAGCTTCAGAAGATTGTCCTTCATGGTAACTGAAAAACCTTTCTCAATTAATTGTCCCACACTCATCAGATTGCTTCTGATGCCAGGTACATACCACACGTTCTGAATCAATGTTGTTTTCCCATTGTTCAGAGTCACTCTGACATTTCCCATACCTTCTGCATTAAGATATTTGTCATCAGCACATCTGATCTTTGTCCTCTTTTTAGAGTCAAAGTCAACCAGCCATTTCTTGTTTCCAGTAAGATGATTTGAACAGCCAGTGTCCATATACCACCAGTCTGTCAGATCTATATCATCATATTCAGAGGCCATCAATAGCACAGATTCGTCATCAGAACTTCTGGCTATATTTGCTTCTTCTGATTTCTTCTCCTTGTTTGACCAACAATCTCTAGCAAAGTGACCAAACTTCTTACAACAGTAACATTGGATCTTCTTCTTGTCATACTTCTCTTTTCCCTTCTGAGCATTCTTTTGTCTATCAGAGATTGAGCTTTCTGACTTCTGACCACCATCAGATCTTCTCTTGGCTTCTGACTGCTTCTGATACCTCCTATCAGAAGTTGCTTTCAGAGCCTGCTGCTCTACTTCCCTTTCAGAAGTTCTCTCAGTCAAACGCAACTCTTGCGCTTCTAAACTGCTTTGCAGCTCTTCAATTCTCATGGTACTCAGATCTTTGGAATGTTCTATTGTTACCACAATGTAATCAAATTGAGAGGTAAGGGATCTCAATACCTTCTCCATGATCGTTTCTTCAGAAAGAGTTTCTCCACACGCCTTCATCTCATTAGTGATCAGAATCACTCTGGAGATGTATTCAGAAACTTTCTCATTATTCTTCATGTTGAGATTCTCATATTGCTTTCTCAAGGACTGAAGCTTCACCTTCTTCACTGATGCGTCACCACCATAACATCTAACCAGTGTGTCCCACGCAGCCTTTACAAAATAAGGGTTTCACCCTATTTATATATTTAGGTTAACTTGCATATCAAGGCAAAACCCAACTATAAAAGTAAAAAAATATATAATCTAATCTTTCAAAATTAAATTTGATCTTTCAAAATCAAATCTAATCTTTATAAAACAACAAATTATATACTTAACAATGCTAAGAACCATAATCCACATCATTTAAATTATAAGCATTGTTTGACAGCAAAAATTATGCTTTGTCGAGTAGAAGAAATGAACCTTATTTATCAGAAGTCCACCCATTACTATAACTTGTTCCATCATTCTAGTCTCAAGTCTCAGCTCAATGACTAGGATTTGAACTCGAAGAACGAAATGGCCACAAAAATGAAAGTGGATTTCTCCTTCCACGACCAGTGCTACTGTCATTTCTTCTTCCCCAATTTCGACTACGACGTCCATTAGATGGCAGCTCATTACGGCAAACAGGACACGAATTATGCTGAATTAACCAAGGAACAATGCAATCCGAATGGTAAATATGTTTACATGGCATTTCCCTTGCCTTAGACCCGAGTTCAAACCTTTCTATACAAACAGAACAATGTGAATCAGACTCAACATGTGCTTGTGTTATCTTAATGGTCGGCATTGCTTCAATCGAAGATCGTGAGGCGGGGGCCGGACCACCACGTCCGTTTGTATTGATTTGTTCCATTAGTTCATCGAGTCCATGATCCATAAAGTAGCCACCAAATTCAACACTCCTAGGATCGCCTCTCGCGTTAGGTGCTTGATCATGAAATACTAAATAACGACCGGATGAACTCAAAACATCCCAAGTATGTTCAGGAACAGATCTACTTCTGATATCAAAACTTGTGTTTCTTCCACGCATTCTATGCCTCATGTAAATATCAACAGCATCTCTAAATCCAATTCTTGGTAAAGAACCTCTTTGACTTACAACAGCATGTATAGCATTCAAAATATCAGGATTGTCTTGGAACTCTTCCCACTGTGACGACGATACAAGTCCTCGCATCTCGTTAATTTCTTGCACAAATCCTCCGTCGCAGTAAGGGCAAAGGACATCCCTCCCTGCAAGCAAGATTGCCTGCTGGCATGTATGACACCAATGTGTTGCTCTCCTTGACATTCTTTCTCATTCCCTACAAATTTAAAGCCAGAAAATAAACCGCATTAAAGATATGCTAACTTCAAATGAATTTCAGAATCTGATATATCTCGAACAATCTAAAATTGAAAGAAATTGAGTGCACACCTTTAATCGGATTAAAGTAGCAGTGTTACATAAGTTATCATTATCAGAATAATTCAGCACAAGAAATAACAGAAAGGTAAAAGTAAAACAAAACAAGAAACACTCTATAAACTCCCAGAGAGAAATTGAAATGATACGAATTTGCCCATCAGAGGAAATAATCAATAACTAAAACTAAATTTCAACAACGGGTAGAAAGAAAAACTGAAATGAAAATTAAAATTGAGAAAGCATTGCACATAACTTTAAAACAAAAACAGATAAATACAATTATGATGCAAAGTTAAGTTCATACCAGTATAGAATCCACAACAGAATAGAAGTTAAAACGGCAAAGAAAGTAAGTATTAAGGATATATGGAAGTGAAGTTACCTAGAAAAGGGAGAGAATACCAAAGATGATAAAAGTCTACTGAATGAAAGTTCAAAGGACAATAGGGTGATGTAGTTGAATTTGATGCATATACAAGAATAGACTTTAATTTGTCATTTTCTGACTAGTTGTAAATTGTAAATCACATGTTTTCGGAGACTTTGTGTTGACCGTTAGCACAATAGAAATACTCAATTACTCCCACCTTCCTTAACTATAACACTAATTAATTATTACACCTTTTTTTATAAATAAAATTCTTTATTAAAAAATGAAAAAAAATTAACAAAGAGGATGGAGGCAAAAATGATATTAGATCAAAATAATCTATAAAATAATTATTTCAAATACATTATAATTAAGTAGTTCATTATGTGTTATGACCCACAAATATTATTTGTGAATCTATCTAAACACATATTTTCTTTGTGAAAGATAAGAGAATTTTTAAAACTAAATGAACAAAGAATGTTGAAGCTATTTTTCCAACTAATCAATAACTTTAAGAGGAGAAAGATTTTTTAAAGGCGTCTCACACCGTATACAAATACCGTTACCGTTGTGATTTACTATAATAATATTCTTTTTTTTCTTTTAAATAATAATTTCAAGAGGAGAAAGATTTATTAGATGAAGTATTTATCTATGGTGTGCATGCGTGTGAAATTTTTGAAGTTCAAATATGAGCTCCCATTCATTGTTACACTATTTCTAAACATAATTGAACTCTTTTTTATGAATTGAGCATACTCTTATTTAATATTTTTTATTGAAATATTAATATTAAATTTATTTATACATAAAGAATAATATAATAATTCTCAAATACAAAATAGACACATTAGCTACACTATTAATTCTTTAATTTTTATAAAATTTGCAATAAACTCATTATTTAGCACTGAAAAAAAATTAGATGATAAGTTAAAAATAACCATTGTGGTGAGATTTTTGGCGTGATTAGATGAGTACTTTTAAAAAGGTTGGTACTCGACGCTCAAATTAGTATATGAATGATGTAGAATTTTACAAGTGTGAATGAAAGTGAGTGTAACTCATAGTCACACTTATATGGAAGAGATATTATAATTGCCTCTAGTATGTTTGACATGGTGTGTAGGAAACCATTGGATGAAGATTAATGGTCTTCATGGGAGGAGAGTCATGCTCCTATACGACACCATAGGAAGCAGGTGTACATGTACTTCAGTGATTGAAGTGTCCTTGTTGGATTAGGATGGTCTTTATGGACCTTTTAGCCATACCATATCAGTTTCTCCGCCAACTCTTTACTACTAGTCTTGAAGCGAGAATTGTTGATGTAGAGATTAGTGAGGTCGTCCCAAGAATCTAAATCGTTATAGGAAGCCGATAATTGAGGAGTTTCACCATGGAGAAGGCACTCTGTGGTGGCATTGAGTGAGAGTAGCTGCATTAAAAACATGCACACTAAATGTGTTTTGTCCAAGAAAAACGTTGCTATGGATATGGATCACATGTACTTCCACATGTCTAAGGGAGAAAGGTGACACTTATAGGTATACTAAAGTGAACATAAGTGTCATTAGTGTTTAGAGAAACCATTTGAGTTGTTGGACATGAATTTTGATCCTCTGGTGGATTGTGACAGTTAAACCTCGTGCTCGTCGTAACTATAAAGAAGGAACTTGGGTTTAAACTCCACTTTTTAGCATCACCTTCACTTCAAGAGCGTAATCAAGGAAAACTCACTTGCTTTCTTTATTGTTGGATATTCATTATAATTTGATTGCTTTGCTTGAATCAACAACTTGCATCTCAGTCTAATTTGTTCAGATTACCCACATTACATTAAAGTATTTATCTTTTCTTTCTTTGCATTTCTAAGTTTTTTGTACTTGCATATGGAGAACCCAAGAAATTTGAATTTAGGTATCATTTTTGTAGATCTTAGTGATGTATGTTGTTCCTTTTGGATTGACTGCATTTTGAAAAACAACAACATGGAGAAATGTTCCTGTTTACCTGTCATACCCTAATTTTTTACCCTAAGATTCTGTTTTTTTCTTCGTTTCGCATCGTCTGTATAGCATAACATACATTTCATCTTGCATAGTATCCGAAATGTCAGTCAGAATAAATTTATTGGATTTACAGACAAACCAGTCTAAATTTGTTTCAAAGTCAGACCAAACGCTGTATTTGTCCAATATGTTTATTTCGCGCTGATTATTTTGGTGCGTTCATTTTATTTTTTTGAGCACTTTTCTGCCCGACTTTTTATTTCACTTTTAATCATTTTTATTTAAATAATCATTTAATTTATTTAGATTTAATTAGATATTTAATTTAAATTTTTTTTTATTACTTAATTTTTTTAAATTTATTTATCAAAATTTTCTTTTTAAAAAAACACAAAAACATGATTTTTAATTCTTTTAATTCTTGTCTTATCATAAAAAACACAAAAACATGATTTTTAATTCCTTTTATTCTTGTCTTATCATAAAAAACAGAAAAACATGGTTTTTAATTCATTACTTTTCTTATAGTAAAAAAAAAACATTGTGTTAATTGTTTTTATCAGTTTTGTCTATTTTCTAGTCCAATATATATGCATTAGAAAAAACAAAATAAAAGACAAAAAAGAAAAAAAAAACATAAAATAAACCTCTGTCCCCTCATTGCTCTCTCTCTCTCTCTCTCTCTCTCTCTCTCTCTCTCTCTCTCTCTCTCTCTCTCTCTCTCTCTCTCTCTCTCTCTCTCTCTCGTTAAAACAAAATAAATAAATAAAAGAGAAGTCATACTTCATCTTCACACAAGCCCATGAATAACAACAAAAAATTCGTTTTTCTTTCAAGCTTATAAAAAATCTTCAAAGCACAATGAAAGTTTCTACATAACAAACTGAAATATTCGCAGTCATGCACACCTTCAACACCATTCAACCTCTGTTTGTGGTAGCTTTCTCTTATCCCTTTCGTTTTATGTTCATAAAAACTTTTTATTGATTTTGTTCGTTTTCGTTTTTAGAAATCTTTTTATTAATATGTTAGGTGTTTAGAAATCTTTTTTTCTCTTTTTATCAAAACAAAACTTTTTTAAAATAAAAAAAAATGACAAATATTTTAAAAAAAATATTACAAGCATTTTATCTTAATGTTTGTGATTGATTTTCTTTTACTTTGTTTATATATATATTTATGTGGGTTATCTAATTTTATTATTTATTTATTTTCTTTGTGATTGTTTAATTATCATTATTGTTTTTATTTTCCATTAGCTATAAAAGGTAATTAATTCAATAATAAATAAAATACAACAAAAAAAATCAACTCTTTTTTTTAAAAGAACAAAAAATAATAAAAACTCGATCCAACGTCGAGACACTTTTTCTCAAGTCAAAACTAACGAGCTCATTTTATTTTTCTGCTTGCGCTTATTTCTTTAATTGGGTTTACTTATAATTTTTATTTCATCTCCACCCGACAAAATGTACCCCATTCTCATTAAGTGTAATAATTTTATCGCTTTCATCTTGATTGTATTTTAATGTTTTATCCATCTCTCACTTACATGCTCTAACCATTTTCATACTAATTCTCAATTTAATATCGAGCCCTTTTTCAAAATACCTTTGTAAGTCGATTGTTTTTGCGATCACCATCAACCAAACCCAAAACATTATTTATTCATATATCAAGTCATACCCTAACTTGTAAGTCGACTGCTTTTTAGCATTGCCATCAACCTCATGCACACACTTGCACCTTTTCTTTGGTTGTGGTTTCGTTTACTAGGAGCACCCTTAGGGACTAGGAATTGACCTAACTTTTTCTCCAACGTCAAGTGGTTACTTCCATCATAAGTTGATTGCCTTTTGCAATCTCATTCACACAAATTCAAACCTCAATCTTTTATCGAGTATTTCTTTTCTTAAAACTAAAATCTCTTTCTTTTCTCAAAAATACTTTAATCATATTTCTAATCTGTTTTAGAAACCTTAATAAAAACACTTATCTCCCTTTCAACTTAACCTTAGGTTTAGAGTTTCTTAACTCTATGTAGGTGTTCTGCCATAGACACTTACCTCTCCTCCCTGGAATCTTGACCATAGTCAAGAGTTCCTCACCCTTATTGAGAGAAACTACAAATGCTCTGATTCCATTCCCGTCAGGCTACGTAGATACGAGATGCAATGCCTTGGTGAGCATACTTAGAAATAACACCTTAGGTCTCCCTTTTTTCTTTTCACCCTTAGCAGACAAAATTAAAAATAACACAATAAAACAAGAGGTTCCTCTAGAGTACTACAAATACTTAGGATGCTAGCACTTTACCTAGGTATAACCAAACCCCGAACCTTAGATTCTCTTTTGCTTTGTTTTTGCATTGCATGTTTATGGATTATTCGTTCTTTTTCCCTTCCCTCGGATAAATTAAAGATCAGTGGTGAAAAATGATTTGTGATTCAAGTTAATCAATAGCTTGATATCCAATTCTCACAGCGACATAAATGACG